CCACCAGCCCTCGCACTGCCATAGCCCTGGCCGTCCCCGGTCTCTGTGCTCTCCTTATTTCTGACCCACCCAGGACTTGCCCTACTCTGCCTTGAGCACAGGCCTGCACTGATGAGATGCCTGCCTGGGTTTCTAGCTCTTTACCTAACTCGCACTGGGAGGGTTCCCCTGGACCACTTGGACACCCCACGGCCAAAAACCCAGTCTCCACACCAGGAGGTCACTACTGGCACTTGGCAGGCGAGCCCCAGCACACCTGGTCCACAGGCTGCCAACAGCCCCAGAACCCACCTCCACATTGGTGAGTGGGCAAGATAACCCAAGTGCAGCGACTGGCAGCTGCTACAGAGCCGAGGGCAGAAGAGCTGCAGAGGAGCGAGCCCAGCCTGCCCACGCAGCACGGCCAGCTGAGATGCCAGAAAGGGCTCTCCCTCGGAGTAAGGGTCACAGTGATGTGCCGCTCACAACTGTCTGCCTGCTGAACAAGACTCGGCCGCTTCAGGGGAAGGCAGCGAGCCCAGAGCCTCCCGTGACACCCACAGCAGCCAGCGTCCCAACCACACTCACAGATGCGCAGAGACAGGAGGAAGGTATCAACAGAGAATGAGTAAGACGGCCCAGGTATCGGACTTGACAAAAACTTCACATGTTCAAAGATTTACAGGAAAATATGGCCTCAGTAAGGGGCAGACAGGAAACCTCAGTCACTAATTAGAAATGAAAAAAGAAACGGAAGTCCTAGGATTGAAAAATACATTCACAAGTGAGAACGTCCCTGGAGCCTAACAGACACCTGGAGATGGCAGAACTCTGTCTGGTTGAGAACCTAAAGACAGAGCAGCAGGAATCGTCAGAGAAACACACGGCAGTAAGTGGACACAAGCCTCAGTGCCTGTGGGCAACGCCCACAGGTCTGACCTGCCCGGAACTGGAGTCCATGCAGAAGAAGACCAGGGAGAAAAAGCACTGGAGAAACAAGGGCCGTACTGTTCCCAACACGGTGGGAAGCTGACCCAGGAGCCGCAGCTCAGAGGACCTGAGGCCGACTGCCCATCCAGGAACCACGCTTCAACACAGAACCCAGCAGGACAACTCCCTGAAGTTCTGCAGGAGAAAACAACCACTGCCCAGAACCTCAGAGCCCTGAGAACATCCCTCAAGAGTCAGCCACTGAGTGGACAGGAGTGGGGGCCAGTGAGGACGTCCCTCAGAACGTTATGAAACAACTACTTACTTTCAAGTCAGTGGAAGTGGAGCCTGGGTCCCCAGCAGACCTGCATGCGGGGAGCCTGACGTCCAGGCTGTCCTCGGAGCCAGAGGACGTGGCAGTATAAAACCCAACTGTAGACACTAACTCGTAACTAACTGTAGACATGTCCCCTTTGCCCACCCAATCTTAAAGCCAGCCAGTGGCGTAGACTGTAACCCCAAGCTCCTCCTATCAGAGCAGGGGGTGGCCCCCACAGGGAGGAAAGCTGGTGGGTACTGCTGGGTGCTGCTGGTGCACCTGTCAGCCAGGGCAGCAGCACGCCCTCAGGAAGAAGCGTGTTTGCCTGGCCAGCCCAATCCCAACCACACTGGTCTCTTTACTGCACCTCAGCACTGCTGACCACGGATCTAATGGGGCTCCATACGTCACCCGGGGATCATGGGAACCCCTTCCTCCGAGGAGGCCTGTCCCACTACCTGTCGTGGCCTTGGAAGGGGGAGGAAACTGTGGTCCCCGAGGCCCACATGGGCCCAACAAGCACACGGTAAACAAGTAAATCCACACAAGAACCAAAGCAGGAAAATCCACTCCTGAGCTCAAGGAGAGGTGCCTCCTGGGTGGTCGGGACACCCGAGAGGTCGTGTGTGCGACAGGGCCTCTGTTCAGAAACGTGAGTGGTCAGGCACAACGGCCACGCCTGTAATCCCAGTGGCTCAGGAGGATGAGGCAGGAGGATTGCAAGTTCAAAGCCAGTCTCAGCAACTTAGTGAGGCCCTGTAACTAAATAAAATATAAAAAATAAAAGGAACAGGCATGTGGCTTATGGCAAAAGTACCCCAGTACAAAAAAAAAAAAAAAAAAAAGTCAACCATGAGAGAGGCATTAATGGGGATCCATTCTCTTCTGGACAAATTTTTAAAACATGAACTGAGTCAGCTTTGCCAGACACCCTAAATATGTGACTAGAGATAATGTATGTACCAAAAAGCTTAAATGAACACTTTACCATGCTGGTGTTCTCCAAACCAAAGTGATCTGTAATGGTAATCTCCTTGGGATTTACATAGAAATAGCAAATTTAATCAGGTATTTATTTATATCTTGGGGGAGGGGTACTGGGGATTAAACTCAGGGGCACTCAACCACTGAGCCACATCCCCAGCCCTATTTTGTATTTTATTTAGAGACAGGGTCTCACTGAGTTGCTTAGTGCCTCACTTTTGCCTTTGAACTCGCAATCCTCCTGCCTCAGCCTCTCAAATCACAGGAATTACAGGCGTGCTCCACTGTGCCCAGCTACTGAGCATTTATTTATGTCATTTAATGTTCTGTAACTGGATAAACGTAACCTGTTATCAGTAAGATATATAAAATTTTGTGCTACTTTTTACACTGGAATAGGAATTTAAATGTATTTTTGTGAGGTAATAAGGAGAGTCTAATTTGTTCAAAGGCTGACACTGCAACACAAAAGCACTTTGCCACTTTTTCTACCAAAATAAAGTTACGAGTTCTCTTAGTTTTTGTTTGATTCATGTTTCAGATGTAATGCTGTACTGTATTACTTGTCCAGAGCCCCTCCTTACCCGAGACAAGGCTCTGCCTCTCACCCTACTAGCATGGCTCCAAAGTAGACCAGACCTACTTAGCTCATTTAAAGTTGTGTTCAAAGGAGAGGTTTTTATTGTAAAGATTACTGTCATCTCAAAATAAACAGAGGACACAATAAAAAACCAAATAAAGGTTTAGGATTATAAAAATCATGTTTCTTGGTTCATAGCTACAACACAAACTGAATGTTCTTTGCTATTAATGATTTCATTTTATATTTTTTCTTGTAAAAATGTATAACTTTGTTAAATGTTTTGCAGAGCCACTGATTTGAGACAATAAGCCTCACCTACAGGACAGACAGGATATAAAGCTGGCCTCCAGGACTGATACTGACTCCCACTTTAAGACTGGTGAAACTGGCCTGCTGGATGTTCAAAACAACTTGGAGACCAAAGTTAAAGAAGTAAAAGGGCTAAGGTAAAAACAGCCAATATTTTGGCCCTCGTCCTCTTAGGTCAGCCAAACTTCAGGGAACAACAGAACTTCTGTAAGGGCTCTACAAATCCAGTGAGTCACCTGACCTATGATCAAGGGGATCAAGAGGATCCTAGAGAGCAGGAAGCCAACCAGTGCACATTGTGAAAAAAAAGGAGGGTTACTGGACAGGAAATGTCCCTGATGCTTCCAAGGGAATCCACATGTGGTCAGCAAGACCCTAACAATCCCAGCAGATGGCACAACTAGTAAAGAAAAGCTAAAGGAGCCAAGAGGCTTCTCACAAGTTCCCAGAGGGATCCCTGACTTCTCCGCGGACTCTAACAGTGTGTACCAAAGAGGTCAATTTCCACCACCTTGGTCTTAGACACTTGGCAGGAAAGTATGATGAAAACACAGCCACACACGGACATTTAAAAGATAAGACAATGGTTCTTTTGCTTGAGATATATGTGTCAGTCCTGCTGAAAGTCAGTAAAACTGGGAGGTTACAAAGGGTTAGGGTTTTTATACAGGACTTACTGGTAAATATCAGAAAAAACTCTGTCAGAATCACACGTTTGTTCTGAGTCAATCTGAGACCCTCTGGGTTTTCTGTTTGGTTTGGGTGGGGGGGTAAAGGAAATTATGAGCTGCTGCTCAGACCCCTCCTCTAGAGTTGGCAATTCATCACTTCCAGCCGGGAGACTCAATTCTAATCAAGACCTGGAAAGAAGACAACTTCAACAGAGCTGGAAAGGACCTTCCCAAATGCTCCTCCTCACCGGGATGGCCCTCTGCTGAAAGGGCAGAAGTCATTACCATGGGCCTTTCCACCTCAGGAAGTTAGCATGACTAGGTGGACGGTAATGCCAAAGGGTACAATGAAAATGAAACCAAGAGGTGTAACAAAGGAAAAGGGGCCCTGTGGGAAACAGAAAGTTAGACGGTCTATTTACAGAATATAGCATTGCACCTTAACTGGGACATAAGGTTGAACTGTCTACATTTTAACTATAGCCCTTTCCTCTGCCCACCCAATTTTAAAATTAGCTAAAAGCACAGACTGTAACCCTCAGCTCCTCCTATTAGAGAAAAGGACAGCACTGGGTGGACGACCCGCCCAGGTGTGCTTGCCAGCCAGGCTCTGAAGTGCACTCCTGGGGCAGGAGGAAGGCCTGCCTTGCCCACCTCCCAGCACCATTTGATTCCTTGCAGCACCTCGGTATCTCTAACAGTAGCAAAGAACCAAGTGCACAAGAGAAGACAAGTAAACAGGTAAATAAGAGATGATGTGGTTTTTTCCATGAAATTTACTTTAAAAAAATTAACAAATTACAGCAAAAATAACGATGTATTAAAACTAGGTTTGTAACAAACAAGAAACTAACAAAACTCAGGCACAGGGACGCACAGGGACATCCGTGAGGGCTCTTCCCCAAGCCTGTGCAGCTCGCCCTCCTGCAGGTCTTCTCCAGCCCCTGCCCTTCAGGCACGCGGCCAGCCTCAGGCTCGCTGCTTAGAGTGTGAGTTGCCCTGGAGTCCCTCCCAAGTCTCACCAGCAAACCATGGTGACCTCCCTTTGTGCAAACTATTGATACCCTCAAGAAAGTGGAACTGAATGTCAGTTTTAAATGCGAAACAGACTCCAAGGCGGTGGGAGGACATGTGAACCTAAGCGTGGGCTCCAGTGCGAGTCTGCCTGCTGAGGAAGGGTCTCTAAGACGCTCCCTTCCAGACCACCCCTTCAGTGCTGCCGTACCTCTGCTCCAGATCCTGGCCCTGCACAGTCCACTTTCCTCTTTTTCCTGGGCCCGATCGCTGCCAGGGCTGTGAGGTTGGCATCCCGCTGTCGCATCTGTGCCAGCTCCTGCTGCTGCATCTTTATGTTGGAAAGGAAACAAGGACCATCGCTTCATGCATGTTTTTACTTAACAGCAAAAGCAAAGGTGCAGATATCAAGCGCTCTCTGAAATTTTCTAAACTGTAACTTCTTTAGTATTTTGGCTTTTTTTTTTTTAACAGTGAGCATATTCTGTAACTAGAAAAATAAGTATTTTTAAAAAGCAATAGATGCTCAACTTAAAACACCCAGAGAGTAAAAACAAGTTTAAGTATAGAGAATAAGTCCCACCCACAGTCACTGTTAAACCTAAAAGCAGGATACAAGCTGTCTGCACTGGAAAACACCGTTGACAGGTATATCTTCACATCTGCAGCATTTTAAATAGCTACATCAATGCCGTGCTCAGGAACCCCATGTGGTCTCTCCTGTCAGTCTAGGTGACATGGACTTCAAGTGACAGTGGACCCTGTGGCTGGTGAGCTCACCTCTTTCGCCTTCTGCTTCAGTCTTAATTGTTCTGGGTCTTCTTGTCTGGATCGAGACTATTTTTAAAAATTAAAAGGAAAAACAAATTATGACCTAAATGTGCATCTCCAAACAGATGTGTAAACCTTATTCATTTCATAACATTTTCTAGGTTATAAGTTTTTTACACGCTTATAGCCAAAGGCTGGAAACCTCAGCTGCACACTATGGGGAAAATCATTATGCCTAAGAAACATCAGTGCCACCGGATGCAATGGATCTTAGGGATGGTCTTGACTGACACTACCAGTTCAGCACAGGTCTGGCTCATCAGGTGCAAAGTGGGCGAGGCGGCACAGCCTTGCAGGCTCTAGGGCTGGGGCAAGGGCTGGGGCAAGGGCTGGGTCCCAGCACCAAGCCCCATCCCCTGCGCCTCCCAGCAGGCCCTGCTGGCAGCGTGGCCTCAGTCTGACTCTCGCGATGAGCACGAGCGCCATGCTTGGCTCAGAAGGCAGCGTGGGCCTGAGCTGTGGTCTAGTGTGCAGCAGGAGGCTGCCCCACTGCACTCTGCCTTAGGTGGATTGGACCTGGAGGACGGAGGCAGCAGGAATCTAAGGAAGCTCTACATTCTGAGGGCAGAGAGCGCTCAGAGCAAACAGGCACCACTCTGCAGCTCCACGTACAAGTGCCCGGCCACCTTTCCTTCAAGGCCAGCACCGAACACCACTTTGGTTACTCAGAACCCAGAGTTGTAGGCGAGTTTGTGAGAGCGGACGGGGGTCCCAGGGAGCTGGGAGCAGTGCAGCACTTGCCTTTGCTGCCCGCATCAAGATCTCCCTCTCCTGCTCATCTTTCCTCTGCTTTTCAATCTGATCAAGCTGTTCAAAAAATTTGAGCTGAGCCCGGACATCGCTTGCCTGCTCGTATCTGTCATCATCCTACAGAAAAAAAAAAAAAAAAAAGCAAAAATATTGTCTGTCATGAATCTGGAACCCAGCAGGCTGGATGGTCTGTGCACAAGTCCCCTCCCCTGGTCTGTTCCCATCTGCAGTGGACACAGCCTCCTCTTGTCTCCCTGGATGACTCCACCTGCCCACAGTCAGGGTAAAGTCTCATGCTGTTTATTTTGGGGTCTCTCGGGACAGTTTCTGTTTTATATACTTTGACATCATCTGATTCATTTTAAATTTCCCACAGTAACACAGAAACATTTAAAGACATAGTGGCTGAGTGTGTTCTAGACACTGCTCTGAGGTGCTGACCCTGGCCCAGGGAGTGTGCAGCACGTGCCTCTCCCAGCTCCCAGCCACTGGTGTGACTGCTAAAAAGGAAGGCACATTCTGCCTTGCAGATCTGCAGCCTGCAGGTTCAGATCAAGGCCAGGGAAGGGCCTGGCACCTGCAGGTTCTGGGAGCCCTGGGACTGAGGAAGGCAAAGACTCCGTGATTTCTGAAGCTGCAGGTCCACCTTCCAAGGTGCCCTCCCATCAGAGCACCCTCCCCCAAGTTCCTGGCCTTCCTCCCTAGCCCAGGCCTACAGAGCAGCTAAAAGCCCTAAAAGGCCCAAGTGGCTAAGAAAGTAAGTGCAAAGGTATACAGGGCACTGGGGACACCGCCACCCTCTGCCCAGCGTGGACAGGCAGCTTCCAGACAGCCTGGATGGTCAGGGGTCGACAATAGAAAGACATTCTCCTCAGGAAAAACGGCCCCATTACCTTATAGGAGAAGTTTTTTTGCTGAGCCGTTTCAGATATTTTTTCTACAAGATTCTGTAGCCTTTGCTGTGTGGCATGGGATACATAACTTACTACGTCTGGATGTAATTCCGTTATGCCGTGCTTTTTACCTACAGAGCAGGCAAAAAAAAAAGTATTTTAAGGTCATTTGCACGTCCTCCTGGGGCTGCTACCTCACCATCTCTCCCGACACTGCTCTGTGCACTCAAGGGACCGCCCAGGCAGGAAGCGTGTGGAGGAGAGTCAACTACCTGAGAACCGTCGACATCAATCACACGAAAGTCACAACCAGGCGAACCCCACGCCAAGACAGAGGCATGCTCACCTGCAGCCCCACACACCCGCCACAGAGCTGCGCAGGGGAGCGCGCTGAGTCTCTATCAAAGTCACAGAGCACCGAGCCCACAGGTGGACTCCAAGGATCCTGGTGGCGCCCGCAGTGCAGACTCACCTATTTCCAATATCCTTCTCTGCAATGGCGCGGGGAGGAGGAAGGTGTCGTCCTTACAGGACCTCGTCAGCGTGCCCACCAACTCAGAGTTTGTGGCCAGTATCCTTGCACTTTCTTCCGACAGGTTTACTCCAGCCATTGACGCAACATCATTAATGTCATCGTCGTCCCTGGAAAAAAAGGGAGAAAGATAATGCACGCTGCACAGAAAGTCATCAAGAGCAGCGCTGAGGTGGCTCTGACTTGGTGACAGCAGGCATGGGGACAAGAAGCTGCTGGCTGGGTCCTGTCTTCTCTAGAGGAGCCTCTCTGCCTTACTCACCACAGCGCAGGCCTAGAGCTGAAATTAAGTTTGCACGTGGCTGTGAAGGAGACTCAACCAGAGTCCACACCACCTCCAGGACAGCAAAAACCAATTGCTTTGAGGGTTTTGCACCATGGGAAACCTTCTTTTTAAAAAATTTACCACCAGCCAGGCACAGTGGCTCACACCTGCAATCCCAGCAGCTCGGGAGTCTGAGGTAGAAGGATCACAAGTTTGAGGCCAGCCTCAACAATTAAGCAAGTCCTGTCTCTAAATAAAACATAAAAAGGGCTGGGGATGCAGCTAAGTGCTTAAACAATGCTGGGTTCAATTCCTAGTACCAAAAGGTTGGCGGGTACAGTGGCACATGCTTGTAATCCCAGCAGTTTGGGAGGCTGAGGCAAGAGGATTGTGAGTTCAAAGCCAGCCTCAGCAAAAACCAGGCACTAAACAACTCAGTGTGACCCTGTCTCTAAATGAAATACAAATAGGACTGGGGATATAGCTCAGTAGTCGAGTGTCCCCGAGTTCAATCCCCGGTACCAAAACAACATTTACCACTAACATTAATTTAGTTTTAAAACAATCACAGGTTCTCGGAAGAAGAGCACCAACAACTCTCCCACTTAGGAGAGATGCCCACCTGACACCCACCATGTGGACACCTGCTCCCAGCCACCTGCAGCCACAGCCCTCTCAGACCCACCCACACACGACCACCACCCCAGGAGCATTCAGCTTGATACCTATCCAGTACTACGGGGTGGGGTGGTGCCTCCTCAGGTGACGGGCATCTGACAGGGAGCCACCATGAGGCTGAGTACTGGCCCTAACCCTCACCCAGCCACACTCCACCCAGTATCTGACTTCTGCACAGGGGCTCGGTTCCATCTTGCCCAAGGGCAGCCCTCTGCTATTTCACAGCCTCGGCCGTGGCCACTGAGAGAGGCACCTGGGTAGCTCATACTCCTGCCTGAGCCTTGCTCTGTCGGGCAGGTGGCCTCCACTCAACACCCTTCCTTGCCCAGTCCCAATCAGCCTCTTCGCTACGCAGCCCTCTTTCCTTCAACAGAAAACAGCTCTCGGAGGACAAGGTCGAGCACCAGACATTCACCAGACCTAAGGTATGAGCCGCCACATGTCAATCCTGCATCAAAGCCATCAGCTGTCTGTAGCTCGTCCCCTCTGCTCTACTTCCAGCACTCTTTCTGGACAGCAAGACGACAGGGCACCCAGGAAAGTGGCTCACTGACTTTTCTGATCCTTGTAGTCATCCTCCCTTTCCCACCAGGTGACAAGCACCCCTGCTGGACCATTGGGGCTGCCCAGCCCTACATGCCTGATGGCTTGAGGTTGGGGCACCTGAGAAGGGGAAGTGCCATTCTGCTTGGTCACAGTGAAGGCTAGCTTACAGCTCTAGGACACGTCCCTGTAGGAGCCTCTGTGCCTCTAGGGGATGCTCAGACTGGCCCTTAGCAGAGACCAAGGCAGTGCAGCCCCTTGAAGTGCTGTGAGCACCTGGCCTACGAGGTGCTGGCTCCGAGATGGGAACCTGGAGCGTTGGCTGTGGCAGGATGAAAGTGCATGTCCACCAGCGCCAGGTAGCCAGCACCTTCCCCTCCTGCTGGGGGAGGAAGCAAGCCTCCCAGCTGCAGCTCCGACAGATGTGAGGTCAGGATCAGGGAAAGACTCCTTGAGGATGTGGCTGCCAGGTGCCCACGGGAGCCCCAAGGGCGTGGTGAAGGGCACGGGGCTCTCCTCCGTGGTCTCCTGGAGCGCTCAGGCTCATCCTTACCGAAACGAACCTCCCCCAGGCTCCTTGAGCTTGTTTTTCTGTGCGGCTGCTGCCTGCGTGGCGACGGCAGGAAGGGCTTTGGTTCCAGGTAACACGGTGGGCTTCACCACTGGGACTGCAAAGCAAGGACAGGAGCGCAGGGCTGTCAGCAGAGGCACAGCCCGCCTCAGTCTCCAGGGAAGGGACGTGCTCAAGAGCCAGACTACAGCCAAAGTCCAAGCCCATCCCAAGCATCTCCCTTCCCCAGCCTCCTGGAGCACAGGAGTGCCAGCTGACAAGCAGTGACAACAAGGCAGCGTGTGTGCATGCCCTGGAGGCTCAGGGCTTGGAAGGCTGAGGCCCAGGATTGCCCATGCCAGGACGAGTCGGGCAACACAGTGGGATCCAGTCTCAGAAAAGAGACTGACACAGGTCATTTTCCAAACCACACTGGTGACGGTGCTGGCTACATATCACAAATGCCACCACTAAAGTCCATCTTCAATGGTGGGCCTGAGGCCACGCTCTCCCCTCGACAGCAGCACGCTGAGGCTGGCCCCACTGAGGCTGGCCCTGCCCTCACCTGGCTGCAGCTGGTTCAGCTGGATCTGCTGGGGAGTGGTGAGCATGATCCGGTTGTGAGGCTGCCGCAGGGCGACCATGGGCGTCTGGGTCAAGGTCACCTGCGGAGGCCGGATCAGGGCTCCTGGCTTCGGGGGCTGCTGGATCACCTGGGGCAGAGCCAGCAGAGCACAGCATGTGAGCACACTCCCAAGGGCACCAAGTCCCTTCACCTGTCCCGTCCCACCCATGGAGAAGCTCTAAGAAGACACCTGTGCTCCTCAGCCCCAGGGTGCAGAAGAAGCCTGGCCCCAGAACCCAGGCCAGCGCTGTGTGTGGGGGTCCACAGGGCCAGGGCAGGGGAGAGGAAGCCCAGGGCTGCTGCTCCCAGGTTGTACAGGGCAAGACCAATCCCGGAGGGCAGCAGTATCAGACCTCTCTCCCACTTGTCAAAGTGACACTGCCGCCTGGTGGCCACAGACAAATGGTTTTTCCTTAGCTAAGTTTCCCGAGATGGGTGGCCTCTGTGTTGGTCTGGGGCTGAGCTCCCCCTGAACTTGGCTCTGCAGGGCCCTGTGCTCCAGGCACAGCCTGCTCCCTGTTACTACCTCACAGGCTGTGCTGGGGCAAGTCCCCCTACTGCAGGCCCTGCCAACTCCACTGTCCAGACCCTGTCAACACAGCAGGCTCCAGAGCTGGTGGTACTGACCACTTCCTGTACTGTACCCTACCCCAGAAAGCAGGGGTGCAGGGACACACGGCTCAGATCTATATCGCCTTGCTGCAAACCTTTGGGGGCTAGGTGTTTGGCTAGGTGTTTCTGACTTTGAATAAGGTGTCCTAGTATGTACACACTATGACATGAAGTAGTTGCAGGGGACGCGGGGGGTGGGGGGGCTAGGTTAAAGGAGCGTTTTGCATAGGAGCCATTTCTGCAAGGAAACACACAGGTTCACACCAGACAGGCTGAGTCCCAAGCAGCTCCACTAAGGAGCCTGCAGAGCACCAAGAAAAGCCCCCGCCACCACCTCAGGCCTTGGTGTGAAACAGACAGATCAAATCCCCCGGCCAGTCAGCTGCACACGTAGACTGCAGCCCTACTGCTGAGCACAGCACACTTCCAAGAGGAAAGTTTATGATGCTACTGGAATAATCGAGGGCCAGAGGCCAAAACTTCCCAATAAAGAGACAGCCCACAAAGTCTTCCTTCAACAGAGTTCGCCTTGTGGGCCGGTCAGCTGCAGTGACTGAATAGGACGGTTCCATCCTTACACAATGCTAAAGCAAAGGCACACGATCCCCCACAGGGACCCCAGGGGCAGAGAACACCCCTACCATGGCCACTTCCCTTCCTCCACACCTCACCCTGCTCTCACTGCAGGAAGGCCCACCAAATGCAATGGCCAAGCACTGAGTGGGCACTGCAGAGCCTGGCCTGCCTGGCAGAACACAGCCTGCTACGAGGCCCAGGAGCTTGGGGAGTCACTGTCCAGCCGCTCCTAGAGGGACAGAGCCTCTCGAATTGTGTGAAAACTGCTTTTCTACTCTGAGGAGTCACCTGCCTACAGGGGAAGCACACACCACCCTGCTCCAGTGGAGAACGCGGCCTCAAGACGGAAGCTGGGCCAGCCCCACACTGGAAGAGAGGAGCCGTCCGTCAGCAGCCCAGGTCCACCTGCGCACCCCCAGAGCACACCAGCATCACCAGCCGGCCACCCCGTCCAGACGAGAGCTCACCCCACCTCTGGCCCCACGCCCAACGCCAAGGTTTCCCTAACCAGAGAGGGCACCCACCTAAGAGACACACTATGCCCCGTGTCGGGAGGTGGCAGGCCTGCCAGTGCCAGGGAGCATGGTTCACCTGACTGGGAAGCAAACAGAACTGCGGGGCCTCTGCTGCCGGCTATGGTCTACGCTGGAGATAACACCCAAGCTGCTTCCCCGCGGAAGCTTCCCCACCTGCCCAAGGAAAGGGCTCTCTGAGCCGTGGCTGGTATTTAAGAGGCCAGCAGGAGCATGGGTAGGCACTGTGGAGGACTAGCAAGGCTGGCGCCTTCATACCAGCGGTGCAGACTGTGCCTGCTTGCCAGGGCCCACCTGTGTGGGCTGCGTGAGGCTGATGACAGGGGGCTGCAGGGCGCTGCTCACGGAGGCGGCCGTCTTGCCGGCCGTGCGCTGCACAGAGCCGCTCAGCACCACGGCCGTTAGTGCGGTGGTGGCCTGTGAGGCGGGTGGCTGCTGCTGCTGGCTCTGCTGGATGAAGGCCGCGGAGTCGGGGGTCAGCTGTCTCAAGGCGGGTAAACTCCTCTGGAGGAGACAGATGACAGAGTCAGGGGCAGCTCAAGCGCAGGGTTCACTCCTTAACTTCAGAACCCTCCTCCAGCTCAACAGAGCCTGCGGCAGACCCTATCACTAACCCTCCTCCCCCCAAGCAGGGCTGTTCTTTCGAAGAACTGTTTTGTTTTAAAAGTAAATTTTAGTCAAACAACAAAATCCCCAGTGTTTTTTAAAAGCCTTAAATGTAATGCCAGCAATGGTCACCTAAGACAATCTCACACCCAGAGTATCCCCTACTTCCCAGGAAGCAGGGGCGCTTCTCTCCACCCAGGTGCAGCAGAATGGACTGACCAGTGTCAGGGCTCAGGGTTATGGAAAAGCTCCTTTGGACCAGAACTGACTTTCTGCCCTTACTGCACGTGCTCGGCTTTAACTCACCTTCAGGAAAGGCACGAGGTAAGGTTGAGGTGAAGAATTGAGTTCTCGGTATAACCTGCTAGTGAAATCTTCGGCTTCGATCTTCCCATCCTTAAAAATAAAACCCACACGGACCCTGCAGTGAGACAGCTGCATGCACCCGCTCCTACTCCACGTCACTCCACACTGGCAGCAGCAGGGCAGTCAGCGTGCCACACACAGCAAACTTGGGCCCCCCACGCACAGGGCAGGTGTTCACCCAGGACTCAGCCACATCCCTGGCTGGCCAGGTTCACGTCCACAAGTTTCTCACTCAACCACTGTTTTCCCTCAGTGCTTACACCCCAACTCGTGGACGCCAGGCATTGGCTGGGAGACAACTTCATTATCACAGCCACGGCTGTGAGCACAGGGAGCACAGGCCACGCAACAGCATCAGCCCAGGCAGGCTCAAGACACCTGGCAGGAGGGACTGGCTACGTGCCTACTCCTGAACGGCACCAGAGGAGGGGCATGAGGGCCCACAAGAGAGACAGGGACAATTCTGTTCCAGGAATTTCCAAGAGAGTTTTATGTGAAGGCCAGGAAATCCAACCAGACAGGCAGGAACTAGACCTCACGCCCCTCTCTGCTGTGCTGCTGTGTGGGCAAGTGGGCAGAGGGGCAGGTGAGGGCCTGGGAGCACTGCTGCACCTTCCCAGGACTGGAGAGCCTGGACTGAAGGTGGCAGTGGGCAGAGCAAAGGTGGGCTGTCGAGAGCACCTGTGTCCGTGAAAATCTGGAACCTGGGGCTCGTGGGTCAAGAAGAGACAGCCACCAGGGTCCTCCCGACACAGAGTCTGGGGACAGACGCCATGACTAAGGCAGGTTTCTGGAGGACTCCAGCTCTCTTGCCAAAGCAGAAGCACCAGCAGCCAGACAAGGGACTACCCGGCAGGGAGCACTGGAGGACGAGCCTCTCCTGTCATGAGTCACTTGTACTCAAGGCTACTCGCTGCCGATAGCCAAGCCCAGCCCTAAGTGACAGGTCAGAGGCGGTGGCCAGCAGCATCCTGGGCTACAAAAAGGTCATGTTAGAAAGGGTGGATGGGGCTGCTGGGGCCCTGGGAAGGAGGCAGTGCTTTGGGGGCAACTGCTAGAGACAGCTGAGGAGTGAAGAGCAGCAGCAGGTGGAGAAGGACTCAGCCCAACAAGGCTGCAGCGCTGGGCTGGCGGAGCGGCCTCCCCTGCAGCCCCCTCTGGGAGAGACGGCCGGCAGTCCAGCTGTGCGTTCCAGTCTAGGCCAGCAAACTCCACCAGCAGAAAGAAAATGCAGGACTCTGAAAGTCCAGGAGATGTTCAACAACCAGTTTCCTCAAAAATAAACCACAGGAAAGAAACAAGAGCCAGAGGACGGAGGTGCTCAGGTTCAGAGAGCGCCGCCCGCACACCTGGACCTAGTGTGCATCCTGACTTCACAGACACTGGGAAGGGATGCAGACCAGGTGCGCAGCAGCGGAGGACTCCGCCTGTGTGAGTGTGCCCACGCCCATCAGAGACCACCCTGGGTCAGTCAAGGCATAGGAGTGCAGGAGGTGGCCAGGGTGGGCACAGATGCAACCCCTGCACATGACCTGGGAAAGACGGCTGGGAGAAGATGCCGCTCCCACTTCACCAAGTGCTTGAAACTCTCCATTTAAAAGCGGAACAAGCGGGGGAGGGAAGAGAAAGAAGGCAGACCCCTAAAAACATGCCCAAGAGGTGCATCTTCAGTCTCATTCCTCCTCCCGAGACGTCACACACTCAAGTGACAGCCACCTGCCTCTGAGAAGGGCCCACCACACCCTCTCCAACGCTAGCCCATTCTCCTCAAGCAGGAGATGTCAGAGCACTGGCCTGCGCATGGCAGGCTGGGCAGCATCCGGGCACATCTGACAGGGCACAGCTGCTCTGCGCTCGTCACACCAACGTGAGGCAAGGGCACTCCCGCGCTCCTTACCAGTAAGTTCTGCACCAGTTCTTTCACGTTAGCTGCTGTCTCTGTGGACTGTTTACCAGATGAAGCCAGTTTTATTAACGTAGACAGAAAATTTTTACATTTCTTCACGTTTTCCATGGTTTCCTGGATTCAAATAGAAAGAAACAAGGTAAAAACTCACTAAAGATTTTCACCGTGACCTCTGTTAAGCCAAAACATGCACACTTGAAAAAGAGGGGTAAACGCTGCCTCTAAGCTGCTTTCAGGGAGGTGAGCTGCCCCTTGGAGCTGCTGCTGGGCACGGCCCCCACAGACACACGCCTGCCTCCCACTGGCCCAGGAACTCCCTCTAGGAAGGCAACTGAGATGACCAGAGTGCGACAAGAGGAAGCTGCAGGACATTCACCTTGGTGCTGCTGACCACCGAGAGGGACTGATCCCATCCCTACACAGGTCCCAACTCCAAGGCAGCCACTAAGATCCATGGAAAGTACTCGGCAAAGCAGCACGAGGAAGCAAGGTCTAAGTCACCATGCCAGCTGCCCAAGGTCCAGGTCCAGAGGACACAGACAGCAGGGCTATTCTACAGCCTGCAGTGCCCTGTGGCCACTTGTCATTTTGTCAAACGTGACTGCAGAGGCTTTTGCCATTCCCAAGTCTGTATTGTCTGAAACCTCAGTGGCCCCTGCCCTCAAGTGCCCCTCATGAGGCACAGAGGACAGACAGCAGAGCCTGCCTCACGCTCCTACAGCTGCAGGCCTCCGTGTGCCAGTGCTTCGAGCTGGCTGGAATGGGACTGGGGCCCTGTGCGTCCCAGCCAGCAGTCTGGGCCAGAAACCCAGGGCGGCTCAAAGCCCCGCTCTGGCTGGTGAGCAGCAGGTGGCTCTGGGAGAACTGAGGAGAAGCGGTCTTACCGTGGCAGCTGTGGAGGCGCTGGCCGTCCCTGGGACCGTGCGCTGAGGTGCCCCTGCCTGCACAGCTGTGGCCGTCCCGAGTGAAGCTGCCTGGGCAGAGCCGCCCAGGACCAGCTGAGGCTGCAAGAGTCCAAAGCACGAGGTGAGTGCCTCCCATGCCGCCAAAGCCGGTGAAAGACAAGGCTTCCTGCAGAGGGGGACCCGGACAGCTGAGGGCCATGCCGCAGGACGCACGCCTGGAGACCCGCCACGGGAACGCGCTGCCCTCCGGTGTCTAGAACTGGTCGGGACGACACACCAGTACAAGGCACGTGGTGGCAGTGAGTCATCTTGATGACCACCATGCCCTCCTCAGAGTGGGCAGGAAAGGGGCGCACTCCTCAACTGCAACCCCACACAGCGCCAGCCACCATGGCAGGCACAGTCCTGGCTGCCCTCGACACCAAGCCCAGCTCCCCTGTCCCCACAAGGGGCCACAGGAATCTGACACTGGTGGTCAGTGCCAGCACACTGCTGGTGGACAAGGGACCTCTGCCAGACAAAGGGACACACACCAAGCAAAGGGGAAGCCAGACTTCACATGGCACGACAGCTCCCACCTTGGGCCTCAGATCTCTAAACTCCCCAAATTTCTAGTTTACATGAAAAATTGTGATACATATATTGACTGGTTTTTGTTTTTTTTTTAAATCAGTGCTTTTCCAATTTATAAATCTGTCACCATCTCATTCCTCCAATTTTTAAAACACTGCTCTTTTCTGAAGACAGAGGGCAGTGCGAGGCTGAGTGTCCAGCGCTGGAGGGCAGGCGAGGCCTCTGTGCAGGCTTCCTCCACAGCAGCAAAGGTGGACCGCCTTCACTCACGGAAACCACCGAGCAGCACACTTCACAAAGAAAACGTGCAAGGGCAGACCGGGCGGCCAGTGAGAGAGGGCAGGTGCCTGTTGGGACAAGTGACCCATCCCCCCAGCTGGTGCACGGACAGCCTCCCTCCTTCAATGATCTTGTCTTCACCAAACCCAAGTTGAGAGCTCAACCAGGAACTTCACTCCGTCTCAGAAACCCACCAGGGAAAGGCAGTGACAAGGACAGGGCGGAAACTCCTCCCGGGAAGGCCCCTGTCCTGCTCTGCTCCGCTCAGCTGCTCTTTAGCCTGCACTCCCACAGCCACCAGCGGGAACGAGGGACGGGCTCAGGAGAGACAAAGGGGGCCCGGGGCCAGGCTGCACTAGGACCCCCGCCCCATCCCCCCAGACGGAGAACACTGTTACGGCTGCACTGCTGTGCGGACCACAGGTCAGTGGGCAGGAGCTGCACCCAGCATCAACGCTGCAGGGCCCTGTGACTATGGACACCCACAAACACCAGACCAGGAAAGACTCTGAGCCACATGCTCCAGCTGCTCCCACCTGAGTCCCAGAGAGTACTGCCTCCCTACTCAGGTGGCTCCCTGGCCAGGTATGTGCCTCCCTGGCCAGACTTTTCCCTGCCTCTGTAACAGGAGCCAGCTAGGCTGCCACACAGAGCCTCTCTACAGGTGGGGCCAGAGGCCAGTCTGTCAGGAGCATCAGCACACACCACTGGACCAGCAGCAGCAGAGCACTCTCCTCTCCCACAGCCTAAACACTATTTTTAAAACAACCCACTAGGGTTGATGAACATTTCCAGAACTGTCTGTCATCCTGGCAAAGGCCAGAGCTCACGCAAATGGAGGCAGTGCATCCTGGTAGCTGGCACACAGCTGGAGCAGACCCTGGCCAGGAGAACAGCAGCAGGTTCAAATGCTCCCTCAGCTCACCTGCAATGCCTCAGCAGCAGGATGAGAAGAGTGCCCATGTCCCCAGCACGAGGGCACCGCGAGCACCAAGGTGCTGCACAGAGGAGCCGCGCAGCAGACACGCCCTCTGCAAGTACACCTGGCTGGGTCTCGGGCAACTTACTAAGGCCATGGATCTTAGCTTCGGCCTTGTGGGAAGCTTCTCAAGTGCTGTTGGTGTTACATTCCATGCAGCTTTAAAGAAAAATGAACCCTGATCTATTCCGAGTTAGTAGGTAGAGAACAGTCCCTTTCCTCCCAGAGAGCCTTCCTGTTTAAATTCAGCTTGGTATCCAAAATAAACACTCACAAGGCCTGGTCATTGCAAAGAAAACCCACACTGTGTCCAAGAGCCCCACAATGTGCAGGGCTGCTGTCTCTTACCTGCACCCCAGGGGAGCGCTGCAGGGTTGCAGTGGGCTGTACCGTCGTCTGGGCCTGAGACACTTGCTTAATTATTGTAGTGGGGGTCACCTGCCGTGCAATGATAGGTGTGCCAGGAGCCTGAAAATAAGTTGTCGTGTAAAACAAGCTAATGTGAAAGTGATTCCACAGCCACCCAATGCACACAAAAACCAATCCTTGTCGCTAACTGGTGCACTCAGGTGGGTCCACAATGAGCAGTGACACCTCCTGTCTACAGCTTTCTCACCAAGGCAGAAGCCTATGGTCAACAGCTCTTCTTAGATTCTCCTGAAACACCAGGAGACTGACAAGCCTACATAATGGGACCTCTGCACAAAAGCAACCGCAGGGAAGCCAGCTGATCCCCGCCACAGGGGGTCCTTGTGGCCGCGTGGAGGGGAGTGCCAGGGCAGAGATACCTCCCGGCTGCAGTGAGGTTGGAGAAGAGCTGACAGCTGCAGCAGGACAGTCAGACAGTGGCAGCAGAGCCCACCAGCAAAGCCAAGCCACAAATGCTGTCCAAGAGCTTCTTGCTCAGAGACAGCACACGCTGGCCTGGAAGGTGCCACCCTGCACTATTTCAGATACTGGGGGCCTACATCCATCTGTGGCATGAACACACCCCGTCTAGGGGACAGGGGCACCCCCCCCCCAGAGGAGCACGGCCGAGTCACAGAGGAAAGAGCCAGGAACGTCCTCCTTCACTTCATCTGCCAGCCTGCCAACCAGCCTGAATGTGGCCACTGCACCAGGTAGGAGCAGGTAGTGAACGGCTTGTGCCCACAGACACTGTGGGGACATCAGGACATCAGGCACTGGGAAGAACACAGCCGGGAACTCGGCTTTCAGCATCCTGTGCCCATCCTGCCCACAGCTCAGAGGGCAGATGTGGGGCAGCCCTGTGAAGCCCACATGCTGCCCCACAAGAGGGGCCTGGACTTGCTCGGCCCTTGCTCTGCTCCATGACTTAGCAGCTGACTGTGGCTCAGCCCTCCACAGTCCCTCGAGCTATGTGCATGCTGATGCCATCTCCACTCTGCAGAGGAGGAAACCAAGGCACCAAAAGGTGAACTGCAAGAGGCAAGGAATAAGGGCCAAGGACCGTCCGGGAGATGACCCACTCTGACCCCACTCAGTCAGCTATGCTGAGCTCAGTTTGCAGGAGTGGGTTTTTCTGAACCAGCACAGCCCTGGGATAGGAAGAAGGTGGTGCCAACCGGGCTCCACCTGATGGTGGGTCAGAAGGCATCCTCACGTTTTGGTGCCCACTGGCACAATAACAACTGACCTGTGGCACGGCCTCCTCAGCATGCATGGTGGCATGGAGCAGGCCAGGGGCAGGCTGAGCCTGGGACAGCCACTCAGCAGGCCTCGTGTACTCACCTGTACAGTGGAGATCTGGACGGGAGGGGCACTTGTGGGGGCCGCAGGGCGGGGCGCCATGGTGCTCTGAGGCTGGGCTTGGGCGTGGGCCTGGGCCTGCATTTGGGCCAGGGCCTGCTGAGGAATCATTAACAACTGCCCATTCTCGCTCCGCACAAGGACCATTCCTGGGGACAGAGGAGACTGCGCATCAGGAAATGCTCCTCAGCCCTGTGCAAAGGACACCCCTCACAGGGGTCTGCAAAGGAACACACATGCGGGTTCCAGCAGGGTGGAGTCAGGACAGACTGTCGGAGGTGCTAGAAGAACCTGAGAGCCTGCCTTAACACAACAGCCAGGCGGCACAGCCACACCGTCCGCCCCAGCAGCCACCTGCTCTGCAGATGCCAAAGCCTGCACAAGCACGCACCCTCCACCGTGCGGGGTGCCCCTGCCTCTGCCACTGTCCTGAGCCAGCCAGTGTCACAGTTCTGCTTCCGCCTCAAAGGAAGGGCCAGCTCTGTTGGTACCTCAAGCCTACGCCCTTGGGACACTCTACTCCATCCACCTCGCAACCCACCTCTGTCTGAGGCACTGAAGTATGCCTGCTGTTCCATGGGTCCTGCCTCTGCCAGCTGTGGGTGCCTGGCTGCACCTACAGGACACGACTATTGCTACAGTCCTGCCAAGTTTCCCCCACCTTGTGCCCTAGGACATTCGAACAAAGCAGAAGAGAGAGAGCAGGGTCCACTGCTCTGGGTAGGAACACTGCTCTGGGGAGGTGTGGGCAGTACTGTTCTTCCACAGTTGACCTGGGACATGCACAGGCCACAGGCAGGACAGGAAGAACCCCTCGCCCTTCAAGGTTCTTCAGCTAAATCTTAGGAAAGCAGCAAATCCCACCAGTCAGGCTGGGCAGTAATTATAGCCTCAAAGCAGCAACCAGTGATGTCATATGTGCATCTGAAACGGAAACACAACCAACGTTCACATTTACTCTCCTACTACAGGTCGCCTCTGAGCCTGAGGAAAATACTGGCATCCTTGCATGGCCCAGCTGGAAAACGGAAGTGAGGGCAATGGACCAAGACAGAGGTGCATCCCCCGCAGGCCAGGCCTCTCCCAGGAACCAGAACCAGCCATCTCGGTGCTGAAGAGCTCTGACACTGCAGGCTCTCTCCTGGGCTCACTCTAGAGTCCTGACCCAAAGCCACCCTTGATGCTATTAAGAGAGCGTCCCCCAACATCCCTTAGAAATAAACCACGCTGAAGCCACACAAAGGAGCCTGACCCAGCTGCCGAGACACCCACTCTAGTGCTGCCTCCACCTCAGAGCTCTGGAGGGAGACCACGTCTCTCCAGGACATCGGCACCTGAGCAGGGCGCCAAGGCCAGGTGTCCAGCCAGCTGCAAGGTCAGAGATGGTAGGAGTCACAAGGGAGAACAAAACTGTCCAACACAACAAGAGGAGCCTTGCTGAAAGCCACTTGCTGCATCTACCCACCCACTGCAGACCCCCCTCCCGTCCAGCTAGGAGCTCACCAAGCACTGTGGCAAGGCAGCCAACGAGAGCATCGCAGCAACCTCGGCTTCAGCTCCAACTTAGAATTCTTAACTGAGCAGTTAGTGAATGAGCAGAAGCCCTTTTCCTTAAAAAATTATATCCATGGAAATTCAAAGAAATATTTTAAAACCACCATTTGACCCAGCTATTGCCCTTCTCGGACTATTCCCTGAAGACCTTAAAAGAGCATACTATAGGGATACTGCCACATCGATGTTCATAGCAGCACAATTCACAAT